AGTGTTGTAGCTATAAACTAGATAAAATTTTATAAAAAATCCAGGTTTTGTCCCAGAACCCTCAAAATTACACAACAGCAGTCATAAAAAGACTATTATTTATTATTTTGCATAAATTTAACAGAATAAAAAGATTATTGCGTTTTTCTTAACTTATCAAGTTACGTTGCTAATACGACAATAAGAATAATTTTAAGTGTGTGGTCATTGCATATTAATATGGCCAATTTTTAAATTTTTTCGAAAAATCAAATTTTATTATTGACCGAACATGATAATAATAATTGTTTAATCCGAGTGGATTTACAAATACCCAAAAAATATAAAATATAAAAATATAAGCATTATAAAATAAATTATTACATTTACTAACTGTTTAAAAAATAAATAAAATGATTGATTTCACCAATGTTGTTATTTAAAATCGATTTGCTTATTAACATTGATATCAACACATCAATTATTATTGTTATCCAGCAATTTATTTATGACATTTTGGGTAGGAACGTTTGATCTTTAGTCAAATTGTTGACGATGGTAGAGTTTTGATGATTATTGAAATTATTTTGACCGACGAAACAGCTGTCAACAAAATTTTGATGGTTAATGCTCGTAATATTATTTGAGTTATTTGAGTTCTGCTCAGCGACGAAATTGTTTTGGTGACTATAAATCATGTTTTGACGTATGTAATTCTCATCACCAGCATTTTGATAAACGTCCTCATGTTTATGATTTTGATGAACCATGTTTTGGTGAACGCAATTATTATTACCGATGCTTTGATAAATTTCTCCGGGGCCCTGATGGATGAGATAATTATGAATCATGCCTTGATGAGTGTAATTATGATCACCGACATTTTGATAAATTTCTCCAGGGCCTTGATGGATGAAATAATTACGAATCATGTTTTGATGAGTGTAATTATTATCGCCGACATTTTGATAAATGTCTTCTGTATTATGAACCATATTTTGGCGAACGTAATTATTATTATGATAAATTTCTCCATGGTTTTGATGAACAGGATAATTATGAATCATGTTTTGTTGATAAGCATAATTATTGTCACCGACATTTCGATAAATATCTTCAGGGTTTTGATAAATTGTATTATGGACCATGTTTTGGTGAACGTTATTATTATTATTACCAATGTTTTGATAAATTCCTCTAGAGTTTTGGTGAATAAGATAATTATGGATCATGTTTTGATGAGCGTAATTATTATCACAGACATTTTGATAAATTGTATTATGAACCATGTTTTGGTGAATGTAACCAACACCCTGATAAATTTCTCCAGGTTTTTGATGAACAAGATAATTATTGTTTTGATAAATGCCTTCAGGGTTTTGATAAATTGTATTATTAGGAGCTGGGTATTGATTAGTGATACTCCTCGTTTGTATTTGCCCATTCGAATTAAAACCGTTATTCCAATCATCGAAATTTTTATTATTATCCATTTTTTGATTTTTTTGATTTTTTATTATTATTATTATAATTATAAATTTTTTTTTTTAAAAAAAATGAATTTTTTGCCTGTTTGAACAATCATCTTTTATATATGTTTAAAAATATTTTTTATATAACATATATTTTAATTTAAAAACGGCTCAAAATTCACATTATATATTAATATACTGTATTTTATGGTAGTACAACAATTTTGAATTTAAAAAAACGTGCATGTAACTTGTTTGAATAATAAATAATAATAATAAATTTAACTAAATTTAATGTTAATTATTTTCCTATTTTGGATAACATATACTAATCCATATACGAATCAATATAATATAAATATCCTAAATAATCTGTAAAAAAAAATTAATTACACTATGATAAATCAACCAATTTAGAATCATGTAACTATAACTACAACAAAAAAAAAAACAATCACACGATTTTATATTTAAAGATCACTTTGGATGTTATTCCCTCTTTGGATTTTTTTGCCTGAGGTTTTCACTGCAGTTTTTTGGATACATATTTCCTGTCATGTATTTTTTTTCTTTATTATTATAAAGTTGTAGATGATAAATATAAATTATTAAATTATATTACTCCTCCGACTTGATAAATTTGAGATTAAAAAATCAAGGCGGCGAGGAGTTTACTGAAATTGTATTCAGTTTTTTAAAGAGCCTACGACAAAAAATGATAAGATAGTGATTATTTCAAAAGGGAATTGCTATTTCTCACCGGTGGTGATTATCACCACCTAAGGAATTATACAATTTATGATTAACCCCAACCCTAACTCCGCCCCACGCAAAATTAATTCCTTAGATGGTGACAATCACCACCGGTGAGAAATAGCAATTCTCATTTCAAAATTTACTTTTCAAAAAATTCCGGAAGTGAGAGGTATTTCGCTGTTAATAAATATGGAATATAAAAGGAGTACAGATTTATTATTTATTATAAACAAACAAACAAAAACCCGGAAGGAACATTATCGTGTAGCACATACTAATCTTTGTACTATACAGCAGCAGCATTGATAATCTTACATCATTAACATATAAGGAATGTATGCTTACTGAATTACTACTGTTTAGCAGTCATTTATAAAGTTGATACTTAAATTTGAACCTTAAATTTTATCAAGTGACCGGGCATAGTGAATTTAAAACCTAACTAAATAAATTATAATATAAATCATGTATAAATGACATATTTTTCTCTCGGTCGAGAGAAAAAAATGAAAAAAAAAACAAAAATTAATATTTATAAATACAAAATTATCCGTTTTCGCTCATTTTAACTGATAAATCATGGCATAAGATATCAAAAGATCCCAAATCAAGAGCAAACTGGATCATTAAGAACCACGACAAAACACATTCATTTTTTAATGCAATTCTGGTCATAACTTTATATCATTAGAACTAGTTAATCTCCTGATAAGAGAACGTGTGGTCCTATTTAGATATGTTGTGCAACGATTATTACAATTCGGAAAAATGGATGACAGTCTAATTAAACTAAAAATACAAAATGACATCAACTTCAAAACAACAATGATAATAATGACATGGATCAAAAAATATCTAAAGTTTCTCGAAAATATTATAGAAATTTGTGGGCTTCAAATATTCCAATAGCGGGTATTCGTAGCTTTGTTAAAAGAAGCCAAATCACAATATGGTGAAAGTCTTCCTTTGAAAGATAATGACATTGAAACATTTCATTTTTTAACAAAAGGTCCATTTGCTATATACTTGGCCCCAAAAAGGTTGATGGAAGACCTGGTAAGGATATTGTGTTGTAGAATAGAAGAACCATCTTTAGCAGAAACTGATAATATCAATAAACCTAAATAAAAAAAAAAATGAAAAATTGGATATTGGCACAGAAAATGGGTTGGATACCAATAGAAGAAATAGATCAAAGAAAAATTTGGATAAGAAACTTGAAGAAAGAAAATATTATACTACAATTAATGTTATCTTTAATGGAATGTCCTTTTAATATAATTATTCCACATATGAATATTCATATTTGTATATAATTTAGATATTTCTTGATCCGTGTCATTATTACATTATTGTTATTACTGTTGTTTTTATTTGTTGTTATTATTGTTGTATTTTTAGTTCAATTAGACTAGACTATCAATAATAATCGTTGCACAAGATAAAATCACATTCTCTCAAAGTTATGACTTATAGCAAATTGCATTAAAAAAATGAATGTGATTTTCTGTAGTTTTTAATTATCTAATTTGCTCATGTTTTTGGGTATTTTTATACCATGTTTTTTTATTGGTTAAAATAGAAATTTTGTATTATTTTTCTTTATTTTTTTATTCATTTTCTCATTTTTTTTATCTTCTCTCCATTCATTCGGTAATTTTCGATTTTCTAAATTATTATTATTATACTAATACTAATACTAATACAACAATGATGCGCGGGTGTGATTTCTAATCATATTTGGTACAGTGTATAAAATTCAAAGAAATTAATAGTTTTATTAATCGAAAAAGTAATGGTTCTAAGATAATTCATTGAAAAAGTAATTATTTGCTAAGATCTCTTTCATTCATTGATCAAAAAGGTAATAATTCTTAAAATATTACGATTTTATCTCGGTATAATAGTAATGGATAATAATGCATTTTTTGTCTTCATGACAAAAAAAAGATGTATATTGATTAATAGGATCTACTTGAGTAGCTTCATTATACGGAGTTGAACATGGAGGAGGAAAAGGCGACGCGTCTTTTGTGTAAGGCGGATAATGTAATGTAATTGAATAATGGTTATTATTAATTTCATTTGGTATTTGTTGTGGTAGTTCTTGTTTTGGTTATGGTTGTTGATCTCTCGAAAATTTATGAAGATACATTTTAAATTTCTCAGCAGCCAGTTTCTCTAATATTCCAAAGTATTTTCTTACTTCGCGCGGTTCCTCATCCCAAGATTTTCCAGTTATACCCGAAACCTTTCCTTGGTCCTTTCGTTCCTTAAAAGATTTATTAGAATTTCTTAGATACAACATATAAACATTCTGTGGTTTTTTGATTTGATTTGTTGTTTCTAGTACTAGGGGAAATCAACACTTCGATTGGTAAATAAAGTTCACAAGGACGATTTAATAAAAGGTAAACTTCATTACCAAGTCGTGCATTAACAAAACATGATAATAATGTGGACGTTAAATAATCTTCATTAACAAGTTGTGCTTGAATAGCATAGAATAATAATAAGGAGATTGCAAAATTTCATTATTAATACTAATTGCTACTATTGGATAAGACATTATTGTTATTAAATAAAAAATCTTTTTCGATTTTTCAAATTTTAGAGGGTGCGATTGCTGCTTTAATTTATAATAAAAATTCATCTATTGGCCCGGTCTATTTGTAAATAAAATGTAACAGCCTGTTATCTAAAAACAGTAACGCTTTTAGTCACCAAGGTAATAAAAAGCAATAGTTGATATAACTCTTAACTTTTCAGATAAAAAAATGATGATCGGAATATATTTCAATGGATTCATTGATGATGATGTTGAACACGAACAAACATGACATTATTAATAAAAACAAACATTCAATTCAATATCAAAGAAGAATTCAAATATCTTGCTTGGTAAATTATATATATAATTATAAATAAAGATTATATGAGTGGTATTAACAAACGTTGTCGATTCAATATCAATGGACAAATATCTTGATAAACTATATATCTTTTTTGTAATAAATATTCGAAATAATAGTGTTATTAATAATTTATCAAAGGAATCTGAAACTTCAGCGGCTGATCGATCAGCGATGTAGTTAAATTTTATGTAATTAATTCACAAACGAGCAGAATAACGAAATAATTGGTGCCAGAAATAAAATTAGTTTATTGTTAATAATAAATAAATTTGTTGCCAAAAAAAATTACAATAGTTAATTGATTTTATGTCAATACATTTCAATGTTTTGAATAATGACATCCATTGCTATAAACACGACATATATGAATGGTAATTTTGTTTAAATTAAACTATCTTTTATTTCCAAACAATAAATAAACTATTTTTTCTTTTTTGCTTCCAAAACAACAAATAACTAAATTTTATTTCCAAAACAATAAAATAAATGACCAATAACCTATTATTTACTAATTGTAGAAACATATTATATATTTCAATGGTTTGAAATAATAATAATGACAATTAAAGATGGGAGCCACAATTCAATTTAATATGGTAAACAAGCAACTGAACATAATTGCCAGGGCAATATTAATTTATCTTGAAATAATAGAATTTTGGAAATAAATTGGATACCATAATGTATGTAAAGATGTCAATAATTTAATATTACAAGGATCATTGCCGATTCTATTCTATCCAAATCATAAAAATGATGCAGTTTGTGTTTATCCAACTACAAATGATTTTGTTGAACAACTTCAACAATTAATCAAAGTCGGATCAAGCTGACAAAATCTGTTATGGCTGATATTTTAATTTTGTATGAACAACACCTTAATGAAATTGGAGGGACACTC